ATACCTAAAATAACTTGGTTCTGGATATTTATATTTTATCTGTGTACTGGATTTCTACTACAGGATTTTCAAAAGAGCTGTGTATTGTTTCGCTGTCTGAGAGAACTTTTCCTGGTGGAGGGATATTTTTTAAGACTTTAATTTTTGGTTCAGGATTGGGTATAGATGTTGTAGGGTTACTTTTGTCATTCGGGAGCTGGTGATTGTCAAGGGTTTCTAAAATGTCGTCAAGCTTCTATTCGTCATTGTCTGTCAAGGCGGTCCGTAGGGCCTTTGCTTTGTGTCAAAGTACGTCAGTCAGTTGCTATTCTGTCGGCCTGGTCACCCAGGAACCAGACATGATTAATAGAAAGCAGAAAGAAAAAAAAAAGAAAAAAAGAGGGAGAGCAAATACAACTGTTAGAAAGGCGTCTGAGCATTGTCGAAAATTACTGTAATAATTTTGGATGCCGAAAAAGAATATGGTTGGATTTTTGTTTAAACTATTATTTTATATTATACGAAATTGCGCGAATTCAATTTTGTTCACAGTGCGAGCCGCGGCCTGGAATGTTTGCAACTTGCTCCACTGTGTAGTCTACTGACTCGCGCAACAAAGTGTTGCAATGCGATTTTGCTTGTTCATAACGTCGCTGGGACTGATGTTTAATGTCATGCTCTAAATAAGGAATGTTGTGCTGTGAAGGATTTCGTTTGAAACATACCATGGGGAATTGGCGATGGTTCGTAGGGTCCTGTTTTGCAGGACCTGCAGAGCTCGCATGTGCGTCTTTGCTAGAAAGCACCAAGCTGCACATGCGTATATAATGGTGGGTCTGATGATCATTTTTTACAGTCGAAAGCTAGTTATACGCTCGACCAGTCTAACTGCCTGCTGCTCGGTGCTATGCTCCGACCGAAGCCCGAATTAAACGTCGGGAATCATCATGATCCGACGAAAAATTCTGAAGATGACGGAGAATCACCTTTTCAGCGAGCTTAGATGGCGCTGACAGTAAACTAATAGGATGATAATCCTGGGAAAATATCGAACCAGCCTTCTTTGGGATCATGATAACCTCGGACACCTTCCATGCCTTAGGGAAATATTGGGTCCTGAGCATTGCATTGATTACTGTCACGAGATGCGTCAAAGCTTTTGGAGAGAGCAGCTTCAGCGCCTTGTTAGTAATCTGATCCTCTCCAGGTGTTTTACGCACCTTGAGGTGTTTAAGATAACCAAGGAGCTCCGCGTGTGCAATGCGAAATCTCAGATGGTTCCGCTGATGTGCTATGCGAATCATATGTCGAGGAATCTTCCGTAGAGGGGTCCTCTGAGGAGGATCCACTAATACTGGCAGTGATGTCACTGACGCCATTAGTTCTGAAGTGTCTTCGGACGGAGCAATATGTCACTCCTCGTCGAGGTCATTATCTAGATCACAGTTGGGTGAGAACTGTCGTTCCATACCATCAGCAAAAACTTCCGCTTTTTCCTCAGTCCTGAAGACCCTGCCCCCAGTATCGTGGATATGCGGTAGTTGTTCCCGTTTGCCATTTTTGAGCGATTTCGCAACCTTCCAGAGAGGAGAACTCTAATCGAGCATTCTCGCTAGAAAATCGCTCCATTGCTCGTTACGGAACTCATGAAGAGTGTTTCTGTGCATGGACAAGATTGGTGGTTCTACGGATGTCATCTGGCTGACAAGACTTTTTCGCTTGTGTAACTGCAGTTCTTTCGTCAGAAATTTTCTGAAGTTTATCCACAGGGAGAAAGAGCTTGCCGCGCCGCTGTACTGGAAGCACAGTTGCACGCTGTAGAGCTTGTTGAATGGAACTTGTCCACTCCGCTGGAGCAGCATCTATTCTGTTCTCATCATCTATGATCGGGATATTGGGAAACTCTTCGAGGAGCGATTTGTACAGCTCCCAATCAACACTGTTTCTTGGATGGGTTCCCTCCTCTAAGGTTTGATCGTTACCCACCTCCATCAAGACAGGAAGGTGATCGCTTGAGATGTTATACATGATTCGTGAAGTTTTACTGTATCGACATTTTCTGGCGATGTCAATGACATCAGGAATTGAAGGTGATTGAACGGATGGTGCGTTGGCTCCTCAGTACTGTGTATATTTCGTACCCCATGGTTATAAAGCCGAATTCCACTAGTAGAATTCAACCTGGAATGCCATGCTCGATGCTTGCTGTTGAAGTCCCTTGCCACAAGAAGTGGATCCGAGCAGTCCAAAAGGACTTCCAGATAATCTTCTCGCAGCCTGGCACTACATCTAACATATACCGAAGTGATATTCAATGGAACACCTCCCGCCAATTGACCACCACAGACGCCGCTTCAATGCTTAGTATTTCAGCGTTTGTGCTTCTGTAATAGTCTATACCATGTTTGACAAGCACTGCCAAGCTTCCGTCTCGTCCATTCAGTCTGTCAGCCCGGATAATGTTTCCTGCAACAAGGCTACGTCTACACTTTCGTTCAAAAGAGAATGTTCCTCAGACCCAAACAATTCCAAAATAATTTTGATATATGCTGGCTGTCTACTATTGTACCTAGCCGTTTAGTGGCTGGGGAAGTATTGCCTGCAAAGCCTGAGTGGCGCTAATCAGGGGACTAATTATTTGTTGTAAAGACCTCAAAGCTGTTGCTAAGTCCACATTCTGAGAGGTCAGAGATGAATTTGGAACAGCAGTTGCTTCGCTAGCAGCTTCCGCATAAGATTTACTTCGCCTTTCGGCAATGACATGCAGAATCCTCCTTGGAGTAAACCTACAGGTCGGACAGTTTGCTGAATGCCCCCCACCACAGTTCGCACATTTACGCGCCTGTTGTTCTTTATCCATGATTCTCCTCTAACAGACAGTCTCGGGACCCTTTCGCACCGACGGGCCGTCGGCGATCTAGCTCTTTTCTACCGCCACACAACGGGCTTTGCTCCCCAGAGCTCTCTTCCATGATGCCCGCCGCACGATGTGCCTGCCAGGCAGACCCGCCGTACTTTGGCTTCCCATCCTAATCGTGTCGAACTTCGTACATCCAGAACTGGCCGATACGACCGCTCCTTTGTCCCGAGGGTGTCGAGATTGTGGAACAATCTACAAGAGAAAGCTTTTTCCAGTTCTACTAACCTTAGGCAGTTCAAAAATCGTATTAACAAAATTTCTTTGGGATCATCATAGCAGCCGCGGTGTTCCGGCTTTTAGGCTTCTGCCTGCGCGGCTGCTTCGATATATATATGTATATATATATATATATATATATATATATATATATAACAACAAGTAGGAAAATAATGGGCAAAATCCGCAAAAAGGAGGAAAGTGGATTCGAGCAGAAAATAGGATAGGTAACCCGAGCGATACGTATTTCTGCTGGTTGGCTTCATCAGACCCGAAATGAATGCACATATGAAACTACAAAAGTAGATACACATGCCCACACATCCGGATACTGGTGTAACCTGAGGAAACGAAGTTGGAGGGATATATATATATATATATATATAAATGTGTCATGTGGTTCAGAACACATTTCAGACACTTAGGAGGCGGAGTGCAGTACTACTGCGCGTGTCCATACTTCTGGCAGCGATGACACTGCCCAATAATCGAGTGTTCTTTTGAACCTGGACTCTGATTGCCAGACCCAGCAGCTCGTGTTCAGTAAAAATCTGCTGCGATTTGTCAATCTTAGGCAGTATCAACACCATCAGCGGCATAGGAATGCCGCCGTTACGCTTCAAGCGAATTATGTGGTGAGGGGAGTAGTCTTTCTGCTCCAACTCCTCCTTGACCTCTTGTTCATTAAACGTTGCGGGGATACCTCTTATTATGGCATGTATATTCCTTTCAGATGGAGGCGGAAACGCGGAAGTGTGTGGTGTGGTACCTCTTCCTCTTTGAAAAGACGAATTACCTTCCTATAGTCTTCTTCTGTTTTATGTATAATGCGATTCCCCGCGTCAACGGCGACCGCCCGTCGGAGTCGCATTCCATTGTTAATATCTGGCTTTTTCTCGACTTTATATGAAAATCTCTAGCGCGAA